GGTTTAGGGTTGAGGGTGTGGGGCTCAGGGTTTAGGGTTTAGGGTGTAGGGTTCAGGGTTGCGAGTTTAGGGGTGTAGGGCTCAGGGTTTAGGGTTTAGGGTGTAGGGTTCAGGGTTGAGAGTTTAGGGTGTAGGGCTCAGGGTTTAGGGTTGAGGGTGTGGGGCTCAGGGTTTAGGGTTTAGGGTGTAGGGTTCAGGGTTGCGAGTTTAGGGGTGTAGGGCTCAGGGTTTAGGGTTTAGGGTGTAGGGTTCAGGGTTGAGAGTTTAGGGGTGTAGGGTTCAGGATTGAGAGTTTAGGGTGTAGGGCTCAGGGTTGAGAGTTTAGGGGTGTAGGGTTCAGGGTTGAGAGTTTAGGGGTGTAGGGTTCAGGATTGAGAGTTTAGGGTGTAGGGTTCAGGGTTGAGGGTTTAGGGGTAAAGGGTTCAGGGTTGAGGGTTTAGGGTGTAGGGTTCAGGGTTTAGGGTTTAGGGTGTAGGGTTCAGGGTTGAGAGTTTAGGGGTGTAGGGTTCAGGGTTGAGGGTTTACAGTGTAGGGCTCAGGGTTTAGGGTGTAGCGTTCAGGGTTGAGGGTTTACGGTGTAGGGTTGAGGGTTTAGTTGCGGGTGTAGGGTTAAGGGTTGAGGGATTGAAAAGTTCGTTCAGAGCATTTGAGGAGGTTAGTTAGTTAAGGGTGTAGGGTTCAGCGTGGAGGGAGTGAAAAGTTTATTTGGGACATTTGAGCAGCCCCCAGACCCTACAGTGACACCCAAGTCACGAAACCAATGGAAAGGAAAAACCCAAGCCCCAACCCACACCAATCGAGGTGCCCTTGTCGGAAGTAGCCCATCTCACGCACTCGCAGATCCCAATATTACCATTGATCAAAAAATCCTTGTTCCTCATTGGCCAAAGCGGCAGCAGTGCATTTCACAGATGAGTCAGAGCGCCACTCGTGGTCCTCGCAAGCACCGAAGCTTTCCGACTTTTCATGTGACCAAGTGCTGCAACCCGATGCTGGATCTCTGTCCATCCGTCCATCCGTCAATGTGGGCTTAGACTGCCATACTCCAGACATGAATGCACAAGTACACAAATGCATACAAGAATAGGAGCGTACGTGTGTACTGTAAATGTTTATGCACACGTTCACTTCCCTTGTTGCAGAAGCTGCGATTTTTCTGCGAACGCCATAGAGGACAAGTCGTTACGACCTGGCCGTTGCTGAGCGCTTTGCACGTCCTTATGCACACACAACATACCTGAATGCATACCTAGTTACATTGCATTGCAATGCATTGCATTGCATTGCATTGCATGACACTACACTACACCACACCACCCGACACTACAGCACAGTACACTACATACATACATACATACATACATACATACATACATACATGCATGCATGCATGCATACATACATACATGCATGCATACATACATACATACAGACATACATACATACAAACATACATACATACATACATACATACATACATACATACATACATACATAAATACATTCATACATACATACATACATACATACGTACGTACATACATATACAGATACATGT